ACCATCACTGAAATATAGCCTCTCCGACTACCAAAGGTGGGCTCCCAGGAATCCACTCCTGAAATTCTGCAGCAAGTTGTTGAGATTCACAATGGGTCAATCCAGGCCTTGCTCAGATAGCTGGGAGTTACAACCTTTACACTGACTGAATTGTATCTATGGTCCTGAAGGGCTCCAGTCACTGAAATGCTAAGGTGACTGGTGTCAAGAGCGCTGTTCCCTGACTTAGATTATGAACCAGAGCTCATGGGACTGTGACGAGAAAGGTTGTAGACAACAGCCTGAGCAATGAATCTGGACCAAATATTGTGATTGAAGCTGAGCTCAATAAAACTCTTCGAAACAGAGCTGAATATATTTCTGCTCTGATGAAGAGTCATTGAGACTCGAAACGTTAGTTTGCTCTCTCAACATGGATGCTGCCTAACCCGCTGTGATTTCCAGCATTTTTTGTTTTCGGTACAGATTCCAGCATCTGCAGTAATTTGCTCCTTCCTCCTGGATATATTCTGCTCGCAAATGTGATGGTGCTCTGTGGGTTAACAATAAATGGGGTGCAGTTAAATACACCCTGGGCCCCCACGACAGCTCCCCTGCTGAGAGAAGGGTGTCAGTAGGAGTGTTGTCTATTCCCTGAAGGTAACAGGTGAGTTAAGGACCTGGAAACTTTCTGGAGTTTTGTTTGATAGTTTCTAGATAGTGCTAGAGACAAAGTGTTAACTGTAATTTAGTGGGAGGCTCTCCCACTACTGGGTGAGAAGATTGAGAGTTTGTGTCCCACACCAGTGGCATCTGCACAAAACCTAGGCCGATTCCAAATGGAGCTCAGAGACAACACTGTAAACTACTCCCCTTCCAGTCTGTATGAAAATTAAGAAGGAAGTTGATAAGGAGAATCATGAAGATCTATCATCAGTGAGTCATCAACAGGCAGGGAAAACAATGAAAGAAAGTTACTAGAGGTTAAGTGAATCAGAGATAGTAGGAACTGCAGATGCTGGTGAAAATGGTCTGATGAAGGGTCTAGGCCCGAAACGTCAGCCTCTCTGCTCCTATGATGCTGCTTGGCCTGCTGTGTTCATCCAGCCCTGCACCTTGTAGAGGTTAAGTGAATTTTCTTTAAGCAAAACACACTGAAGACTGAATTTTTAAAAGGAACACTTGAATATTGACTTTATTAAAAGAAAAGACAGAAGCATTGAACGGGGAGTGAGACAAAGGATAAAGGTCTCTTAGACCACGAGAGGCTGAATGGCCTTCTTAAGTCATAGAGTCATAGAGCCAAAGAGATATAGAATCATAGAGCTGCGCAGCATGGAAACTGACCCTTTGGTCCAACTCGTCCATGCTGACCAGATATCCTAAATTAATCTAGTCCCATTTGCCAGCTTTTGATCCATATCCCGCTAAACCCTTCCTATACGTATACCCATCCAGATGCCTTTTAAATGTTGGAATTGTACCAACCTCCACCACTTCCTCTGGCAGCTCATTCCATACACGCACCACCCTCTATGTGAAACATTTGCCCCTTAGGTCCCTTTTAAATCTTTCCCCTCTCACCTTAAACCTATGCCCTCTAGTTTTGGACTCCCCCACCCCAGGGAAAAGACCTTGTCTATTCGCCCTATCCATGCCCCTCATGATTTTATAAACCTCTATAAGGTCACTCCTCATCCTTCGCACTCCAGGGTAAATAGCCCCAGCCTATCCAGCCTCTCTCCACAGATCAAATCCTCCAACTCCGGCAATATCCTTGTAAATCTTTCCTGAAGCCTCCCAAGTTCCACAACTTCCCTCCTACAGCAGGGTGACCGGAACTGCACACGGTATTCTAAAAGTGGCCTAGCTAATGTCCTGCACAGGCACAACATGACCTCCTAACTGCTATACTCAATGCACTGACCAATAAAGGCAAGCGTACCAAATGCCTTCTCCACTATCCTATCCACCTGCAACTCCACCCCCAAGGAACTATGAATCTCACTCCAAGGTCTCTTTGCTCAGCAACACTCCCCAGGACCTTACCATTAAGTGTATAAGTCCTGCCCTGATCCACCTCTCCAAAACGCAGCACCTCACATTTATCTAAATTAAACTCCATCTGCCACTCCTCGACCCATTGGCCCATCTGATCAAGATCCTGTTGCACCCCAAGGCAACCTTCCTCAATGTCCACCACACCTCCAATTTTGGTGTCATCTGCAAACCCATCAAACATACCTTCCACATTCACATCCGAATCATTTATATAAATGACAAAAAGCAGTGGACCCAGCACTGATCCCCACAGCACACAGTCACAGGTCTCCAGTCTGAAAAACAAACCCCACCACCACTCTCTATCTTCTACCTTTGAGCTTGTTTAGCATCCACATGGCTAGTTCTCCCTGTATTCCATGTGATCTAACCTTGCTAACCAGTCTACCATGAGGAACCTCGTCGAATGCCTTACTGAAGTCCATATAGACCACGTCCACCGCTCTGCCCTCATTAAACCTCTTTGTTCCTTCTTCAAAAAACTTAATCAGGTTCGTGAAACACCATTTCCCACACACAAAGCCATGTTGACTATCCCTAATTTGTCCTTGCCTTTCCAAATACATGTAAGTCCTGTCCCTCAGGATTCCCTCCAACAACATGCCCACCACCGATGTCAGGCTCACCTGTCTGTAATTCCTTGGCTTTTCCTTACCAATCTTCCTCTTGCAAGATTCTACATTTTGTGGATGGAGAAACATTGTTTTGTTTACTTTCAATTTATCTCTCCTCTCTTGGAATGCAGCTTCAAGAAGACAGCAGAAGTAGGAACACAGGAACGTGAGTAGGATATTCAGCTTCTCAAATTTGCTCCACCATTCAATTAGATCAGGGCTGATTTGTGGTCTAACTGCATATGCCTGCCTTGGGCCCATACCCCTTGATACTCTTGCTTAATAAAAAATTGTCAATTTCAGATTTAAATTTAATAATTTAGTTAGCATCGACTGCCGTTTGAGGAAGAGAGTTCCAAAGCTCCACCACTCTTTATGTTTAGAAGTGCTTTCTGACACCTGAATGGTCTAAGTCTTAGACTATGCCATCTGGTTCCAGAATTTTCAACCAGTAGAAATAGTTCGTCTTTATCTACCATGTCTTCTCCTGTTAATATCCTGAGGATCTCGATTAGATCACCCATTAACCTTCCAAATTCTCAAGAATAAAGGCCTAATTTGTATAATCTTTCCTCATAACTTAACCCCTGAAGTCTAGGTATCATCCTGTAAACCTTGTAATATAAGTGGGTGCTTTTTCTGGAGCAGGTCTCAGTGTTTCGACATTGATGCACTCACAGTGGTTCAAACCTCGTTGTCTCTGTCTCTTGTCTATCCATGGTTGCTGAGAGACAGGTGGTATTCAGACAAATGCCCATACGTTTGGACTGGCTCCACAAGTCCCTGTGAAGTTACCCTCCTCCCCGCTCTCCCTGAACATGGGGGTCTGGGGAGGCAGGAAATGGAAGTGCAGGTGTGATTGGAACAGCTTGTGCATATGAGCACTGGTTGCTGGTGGAAAGCAATGAAACGTCAATATTAGCGAGCGCAGTGTCAATATTGACCGACATGGTGGTCTCTAAAGATTCAATATCTCGGCTTTGGCATCGCAAAGAGGCGTTTTCGACTTCAAATGATTGAAAATCCCTTATTCTTATCCCTTCACTCTTTTAAAAGTCTTTTGACATGACAGAGTAAGTAGTTTTAGATCCAATTCCCGACATATGAAAGGTATCACAGCATCATAGGAGTACTACAGTGTAGGAAGAGACCATTCTGCCCATCCTGTTTTCACCGGCTCTTCAACAAGCATTGTTACCAAATGTTAATCCTCTGTTTTCTCCCCGAATCTTTGCACATTATTTCTGTCCAAGTTAACCTGTTGAATGCCCCAGCCGAACGTGCCTCCAGCACACTTGCAGGCTTTGAATTCCATGCTGTAACTGCTCATCGTGTGAAGGTAGGAGAGGAATACAGGAGGACAGGAAGAATAGCATTTAGGCAGAATCTTTCAAAACCGCTCAACAAGCTTTACAGCCAATAACATACTTTTAAAGTGTAGTCATTGTTGTAATCTAGGAAACACTGAAGCCAATTTGCACCCAACAGGAGGCCCGACCGGCCCTCTCAGGTAGGTTTTGAAGATCCTATCAACTCTTTGGCTCGCTGGTAGTGTCCCTACCTCTAGGCCAGAAGGTTCAGATTCAAATCCCACTTGCTCCAGAGGAAGGCTACACCATCTCCGAACAAGTTGATCAGAAATATTTAGAAGACCTCATATAACATTACTTTGAAGGAAGCCAGGGCAGTTCTCCCTCGGTCAACCCTTTCAACCAACGGCTTCATAAAGCGGATTATCTCATCACCTTTTTTAAAAAATATATTCATTCACGGGATGTGGACATCGCTGGCTAGGCAGCATTTATTGCCCATTCCTAATTTCCCAGAGGTCGGTTAGGAGTCACCCACATTGCTGGGGGTCTGGAGTCACATGTAGGCCAGGCCAGGTAAGGACGGCAGTTTCCTTCCCTAAAGGACATTAGTGAACCAGATGGGGTTTTTCTGATAAACAGCAATGGATTCATGGTCATTATTAGACTCTTAATCTCAGATATTTATTGAACTCAAACTGCACCTTCTGCCTTGGCGTAATCTAACGATAAACCTGCTCGATCATCGCCTTCCCATAACTCATTGCTGCTTGTGTGCATGGGTGAGTTGGTGTATCCCCCTAAAATACACTCAAGCACAGGCTGTGAGGTGCTTTGGGGCACTGTGAATGGTATTTTATCGATGTGGATTCTTTCTGAATACAAACAGCAAACAACACAAGGAACTGAATTCTGAACAGGAAGCCCGACATCACGGAGATGGTGGTGAGAATGGGAAAGAAGCAATTGTTCCTATCTAGATGGATGAGACAGAGGAGGGGCGTTATTCACCATCGACTTGTAAGAGATCAATCAGGGGGCAGCTCACGGCTGAGGATGCTGTTGTCTTTGGCGACAGCCAAATGCAGTTACGGCCAGCAATCCCAAAAAATCTGTGGGATTTACTGGGTGCTGCTCTGCAGTCTCCTAATGCTGTTCTCACACACAACCACAGCAACTGTTCCTGATCAAGGAGAGGAAACACACTTCAGCCTGGATATCACATTTGGATAGGGCAAATAACAGTCAGTCCATTCAAAAGAAACACTTCCACTTCTATACTATCTCTCATCACTATTGCATGCATCAGAGCCCTCTGCTAAAGTACTTTTAGAATGTAGTCACTATTGTAATATAGGAAATGTGACAGCCAATTTAAACACAGCAAACTCCAGGCTTTGGGTTTTGTGTAATGTTGCTTAAGGGATAACTATTAGCCAGGACACAGGGAAGCCTCCCCCTGGTCTACATTGGAGTGTAGTGGTCATGAACCAATGGAGATGGGCTATAGTTTATGATCTTATCTGTAAGAGCACACTTCTAACAGTGTAGCCCACATACAGCAGTGCACAGGGGTGGGTGCACAAGACTTAGTGCTTGTGATTCTGGAGTGGATTTTTCATCCACAAACGTTTGCCTCGGGGTGAGAGTGCTAGCCACTGAGCTACACTCAAAACAGATGCTGCCTCCTCACTAATGTCTGAGGGCTTTTGACAAACCTGCCCTTTGATCTCTATGTCAAAGGTCAAGAGCAGCAGATATGTAGGAAGACAACCTCCTGCAGGTTCCCTTCCAAGCCACACACCATTCTGACCTGGAAATAGATCTTGTCCCTTCACTGTTGCCAGGTTAACATCTTAGAACTTCCTCCCCAAATACCTTGTGGGTTTCCCTACACACCAAAGACAGCAGCAGTTTAAGAAGGCAGCTCACCACTGCCTTCTCCAGGAGGACATGTTATGGTCTCTCATATTAATATAACTTGTACCTAGTTGTTATCATGGAATAAACAGCCTCTTCTACTTAGACCAGGAAATGGTTTTCCTCTGAAACAAAAACAGAAATTGTGAGAAAATCTCAGCAGGTCTGGCAGCATCTCTGATCCTTCCTTAGAACATTCTGAAGAAGGGTCACTGGATCCAAAGCGTTAACTGTGATTTCTCTCCGCAGACGCTGCCAGACCTGCTGAGATTTTCCAACAATTTCTGTTTTTGTTTCAGATTTCCAACATCCTCAGTTCTTTTTGTCTGATGGCTTTCCTCTACTACACCAGGCCCCAAAAACGAAAGAGAGGATGTTGGCAGCAAATCTACTACACAGCTTATATGACATGGTGAGCAACAGTGAGGATTCGCATTGTAACAGTAGTGAGCCATCTTCTTGAACCACTGCAGTCCTTAGGAATACAGGGACAGCCACAATGCTGTTAGGGAGGGAGTTCCAGATTTTGACCCAGCAACGCTGAAGGAATGGCATAGTGGCTCAGTGGTTAGCACTGCTACCTCACAGCGCCAGGGGCCTGGGTTCAATTCCCCCTTGGGCAACTGTCTGTTCTCCCCGTGTCTGTGTGGATTTGCTCCAGTTTCCTCCCACAGTCCAAAGATGTGTAGGCTCGGTGGATTGGCCATGGGAAATTGCCTGTAGTGTGTAGAGGTGGGTTTGGGGAATGGGTCTGGGTGTGATATTCTGAGGGTTAGTTTGGGCTGACAGGCCTGTTACCACACTGTAGGGATTCTATGGAACGGTGATGTGTTTCCTATTCAGCGTGGCTTGGAGAATCAACTTTTCCTGTTTTGACCTTGATGTGTCCAATTGAATTGGGATTTTTGGAATATAAGGCTATGTATTGATGTATTGATCTGATCTCTGCTGGCGGCTGGTTTCACATCGCAGCCCCCCTACCAAACACTAAAATAAGGGATGTTTGGAAACTTGTGTCGGGGTTGGATTACGTCGCAGGCGCGATGACTTGTTCCCACGAATCCAAGATCAATTTGCCGCGTTGTTTAAGTAGAAAAGCTCACACCCTGGTGTCCCCTTTGGAGGGTAGCTCGGAAGCTACTGTTTGTTTTCACAGGCGCTGCGACGGTTTCTGCCTGATTCTCGACAATAAGTCAAAGGACATCTGCCTCAAACACCGCCCCCCACCCCCAGCTCCCTCAACATCTCCACCACCCCTTGAACAAAAGTCTGAATGAGAATTTTGAGAAGATGCAGAGGGGAGTAGATAGGGTGGGATCCTTCTCCAATATTTGCCTGTCCACTCTCCTGTTTGCCAAGTGGCTGTTTTCAGAAGTTGGTGGAAGTCTTGTGTGTTCTTTGAGAGTTGCTGGGATACCTGTTCGTCTCCTCACTTACACCACAACCAGCTGCTACATTTGTTCAGAAAGCACCACCCGAAGGTCAGAGGAAGAGAAACAAAACCCTGACAGCCCTGTTCTGCTCTCTTTCACAACCAGGACTTCCCAGCATTGCCTTCCCCTGTGGAAACATCTGATTGAAAAAATTCAAAAATTCCATTATCAGCTCTGAGGCATCCACTCCTCTTCCTGCACCAACTCCCATCGCTCTCCTCCTGCTCCATTCCTTTTCCTCTTCTCTCCACTCTGTATCCCTTCACTCTCCACCACTCTCCTTTACCCTTCTCTTGTCTCCTCCTCTGAGTAAAGGTTCCTCTACACTGTCCCCATCAAACAGTGCCAGGACAGGGACCGCACGGGGTTAGATACAGAGTAAAGCTCCTTCTACACTATCCCCATCAGACAGTCCCAGGACAGGGACCGCACGGGATTAGATACAGAATAAAGCTCCCTCTACACCATCCCCAACAAACACTCCCAGGACGGGGACCGCATGGGATTAGATACAGAATAAAGCTCCCTCTACACCATCCCCAACAAACACTCCCAGGACGGGGACCGCATGGGATTAGATACAGAATAAAGCTCCCTCTACACGATCCCCATCAAACTCTGCCAGAGCAGGGACAGCACAGAGGTAGACACAGAGTAAAGCTCCCTCAACATTGTCCCGATCAAATGCCCCCAGGATGGGTACACCAAGAGGTTTGATACAGAGTAAAGCTACCTCTATGCTGTCAGGTTGGAAGTGCAGTATGTACTGTGATTTACAGTGTGTTTCAGAGTACAGGTCCTACTGCATCCTGGTCTTACGACAGAAAGTGTGTCTGTAAGGTGAAGGAAGATTTAGGGTTTATGAGCAAAAATCTCTGGCATCAAATGACCTGTCTAAGCTCCGGTGCCAAGGAAGTCAGTTAAGGTCAGATAGCAACACCCCTCGGGACTGTGCCCAAGCCAGGACAGTGTGACTACCTCATATGAGAGGGAGGCAATTCAGATCAGAATAGCCCAATTTGTCCCTTTACTTTCCCTGCCTTACCTTAGACCAAATGTTACACTTGGAGAGAGTCTAACTGGCTTTTCAGTTGCATTGTTGTTAAAGGAAAAATCTTGCTTGCAAAAATATGTACAACTAACTTCAGTACAGACATTCCTCAGGTCAACATAATTCCTCATTCCTTCAGCTGTCCGGGCCCTAATTTCTGGGAATCGCTCTGTCATGCTCTGTCTCACAGCCAGTGTATCAGTATACCTTTAAGTGGCTCATCATTGCATCATAGCATGTGGCCAAGGATATAAAGATCTCAGGTTCCATCTAAATTCAGACCACTTGAAGCATGACACTTTGCTAGCAATATGTTCTTCTGCTATAGCTGCCTAACACTAGCTCAGACACCTTTGTGTCTGAGAATGTGATAATTGTATATAAGAGCTAGTTATAATAAATGTTTATTGGATTCTTCAATACCAATGATATCCACACCCTGTTTATTAATGTTACAAAGGATAACATAAGCATTGTCGCATCAGATAATGTATCCTGCTGGACTTAAAGCC